CTCTCTCTCTCTCTCTCTCTCTCTCTCTCTCTCTCTCCCACACACACACACACACACACACACACACACACACACACACACACACACACACACACGCGCACATGTTTACACAGGTTTACAGGTGCGATAATTGGGGGAGTGCAGGATGGATCACTGGGTTATTGGCTCGGGCTCACATTGTGCCCTCGATGGATCAGCACGAACTATAGGAATGCGGGAGGCTTTATGCTCTCTCTCTCCCCCCCTCCTCCCCCCCTCCCCCCTGGACCCTCGGATCCTCGACCTCTTGATTGCCTTTAAATTTTTTAATTTTCTAATTTTTTTATTTTTTGTTGTGTTAAAATCCGGGCCGCCCGGCGGCCCAGCCATCGTCCGGCAGGGGTCCCGGGTGGCCCGGCCGGTCGGGTCCCCCGGTTTGCCCCCGGGCGGGCCCAGCGCATTTTTGCGCAGGGGGGGGGGGAGGCCAGTTTTGATGTGTCTGGGCCCCGTGGCAGCCTCCCCGCCCCCCCGCACGATTTTTTTTTCGGGCGGGCTTCGAACGCGCGGGCTTTCCAGCCCATTTTCAAACTCGAACGCCGGTGGGCTTTCCAGGCCAGTTTTGCACTGCGTCGAACGCGCGGGCTTTCCAGCCCAGTTTTGCACTGCCCATCGTCGAAGAGGTGCCGCCGCTGGCCGTCGTCCCTGCCCGTCGTCGAAGAGGTGTCGCCGCTGCACGTCGTCACCCCTGCCCGCTGCCCATTGTCTCCCCTGTCCGTCGTCGAAGAGGTGCCGCCGCTGCCCGTAGTCGCTGCCGCTGCCGCTACCCGACGCCCATGCCCGCCGAAAGGTAAGGTCGCCCCATCGTGGTGGATAGGGTATCCACCTCCACAGCGAAGATTCCTCTTCTTCTTCTTCTTTTTCCTCTCCTCCCCCTCCATATCCTTTCCTCTTCTTCTTCTTCCTCTCCGCCTCCTTTTCTCCTCTTCTTCGTCTCCTCCTCCTTTCTCCCTCATTTTTTTTTTATTTTTTTTTCAGATCGACGCCATATGAAACGAGCAGCTCCTCCTCCTCCTCCTCCTCCTCCTCCTCCTTTCTCCTCCTCCTCCTCCTCCTCGTCCTTTCTCCCTTTTTTTTTTCTTTTTTTTTTCCAGATCGACGCCAAACGAAACGAGCAGCTACTCCTCCTCCTTCCCCTCCTCCTCCTCCCCCTCCTCCTCCTCCTCCCTCGTCTGCTTCTCTCCTCCTCCTCCTCCTCCTTTCTCTTCCTCCTCCTTTGTCCTCCTCCTCCTCCTTTCTCCCTCATTCTTTTTTTTTTTTTTCAGATCGACGCCAAACGAAACGAGCAGCTCCTCCTCCTCCTCCTCCTCCTCCTCCTCCTCCTTTCTACCTCCTTTCTCCTCCTCCTTTCTCCTCCTCTTCCTCCTCCTTTCTCCTTCTCCTCCTCCTTTCTCTCTCGTTCTTGTTTTTTTTTCTTCAGATAGACGCCATACGAAACGAGCTCCTCGTCCTCCTCCTCCTCCTCCCTTCGTCTGCTTCTCTCCTCCTCCTCCTCCTCT